GCGCGCAGCTCCAGGACCCAATTGAGAGATATCGCCATAAGTGATATTCAGGGACTTGGGAGGGACGCGCGGCACCTTCTTGGTTGCAGAGGCTGCCGCAGACTTGGCGGCTGAAGGCGCGCTTAGGAAGAGGCCCCCGCGGCCCCCGCGGCGCGACATCCAGCCCCGGCACCTGCCCCCGACTCCTGCCGCGCAGCGGCCCACGCAGCGCGCGCCTCGGCGGCGCATCGGGCGGCCCGACTGGCGGCGTCCTCTCGCGCGGGCGGCTGCGGGGCCGCGAGCGGGTCGGCGGCTGGAGCCCCAGCGGCCTGGGACCCGCCTGCGGCTGCAAGAGCTGGGGCCTCGGCGCGCTCAGGCTCGCCGGGCTCGGTCGAACCGGCCCCAGCCGAGTTGCGTTTCTTCTTGGGCTGGTCGAGTTCGGCGGCCCTCTCCGCAACTGCTAAGCTTCCTCGCGCGCCTGAGAGAAAGCCGTTCCCAGAAGCTGGCGGGCGCGCTCAGCGCGCTCTGGAAAAGTCGGACAGCTGCTTCCGCTCCTCATAAGAGTAGAGATCGCTGGACAGGTTCAAATCCTCACCCAAGTCGAGCGCGAGAGAGGGCGCTAGCAGCGCCTCGATGTGAACAACCGACTCCTTGGCCGAGGGCACCCCCCCCGCGGGGGCAGGTGCAGCGCCGCGCGGCGCGCGGCGTCCTCGACCTCCTTCTTGGCGGCCAACTCCACGGCCATGGCATCGCCGACCTTCTCCCCTGCCTCCTCCAGCGACTTCTGCGCGCGAGCCTGGCGCTGCAGGGCCTGCTGGAGACGGGGAGAAGCCGCGCGCTGACGTCCTTCTGCCGCTTGCACCTCAGTGCCCTGGCCCTGCTCGTGGACCGGCGCCGGCACCCCGACGCCGAGCTCGTCGAGGAGAGCCCGACCCTTCTCAGGCGGAAGGTCGGCCGCAAACTTCTGCAGGAAGGCGAGCTGGGATGCGCCCAGGGTGGAGGGCTTTGGCCAGGGGCCTCCGTCTCCCTGCGCGCCATAGCCCGCGCATCCCGACTGGGGGCCGCCCCCAACTGGAACGCGTTCGGGTCGTAGGTCGGCCCCGCGCCCGACATGGCGGCCACGCTTCCAAAAGAGACGGTCGCAAGTCCAATGACCACATGCACAGAAAGTGCAAGGATCTTTCTTATGGCGGCGCCCGCGAACTGGCGTCCACGAGCTATCTGGAACTGGCGGGGGCCCGCCGCGCACCCACGGGTCGCGCTCGAAGAGAGCCCCCTGCGGTGCCGTTATTCTGGCCAGGGAAGCTGAGGACGGAGACGCGCGCTCGAGCGAACGAGGGCGGGCGACTGCTGGGGCGGACCAGCTGGCACCGAGAAGTTGGAGACTGGCCGCGGACTAGCGGCATCCACGAGCTCCCCTGAGGAGCTGAGCATATTGAGCCAAAATGGTTACGGACGGCGACAGCGGCGACGGCGACGACGTCACAAGCGGAAAGCGTCTCAGGTCGGCAGACGTCTCCCTCCTGGAAAGTGGCGAAGTTCCCCTCGTCCCGCGCTCCCTGCGTCGCGCTTGCAGCCAGGCGGGGGGGGGGGGGCACGTGCCCAGACCCTTCGCGCTGTGAATATTTACCTTGCGACATGCCCATCCCAGCTGCATCAAGTGACAGGAGGAGTTGGCCCAAACTTGCCATGGCAATGACACTGCAGGCGCCGTTAAAAGTTGCGCAAACTACATGGGGCGCGCTCACGTGGCACGATTCACTGGACAACAACAGAAGGACGATGGGGGAGGGCCCAGGCTTGAGGACATGGGGGCGGGAGCGAAGGGCAGGACAAGGGCGCGCGGGGCCCGAACCGCCACTGCGGCAGCAGCAGAGGGACGGTGGCAGGGGGCAGAGGACGACGACGAAAGTGACGCGAGGAGACCGAAGGGTATTGCTTTTGTCGGTAGTACGCCAGAAATGCAGCGCTGGCTGCGCCATGACGCTGCGGCGCTCGACAACACGATTAAACTTGCCTAGAGTGAGTGCACGAAGCGAGCGAGGCCTAGCTCGCCCGCCAGCTTCCCTGCTTCCTTCCTGCATATGTCAGTGCGGGAGCTAAACGTTCGAAGGCGCGCCGCCAGGTCTGCGGGCGGCCCGCGACAGCGCCCCGCTGGACACCCGGCAGCTTCCGAAAGTGGCGACAGTTTCGCAGATCGCAGCCCCCCAAGGATGGCGAGGTCTAGTCTATCTCCGGGTGGTGCCTCGCTCCGTTGAACCTCCGAGCAGCCCTCGAAAGTGGCGACAGTTTCCCAGATCGCAGCCCCCCAGAGATTGCGAGGTCGAATCTGGATCTGGGTGGTATCTCGCTCCGCCGAACCCCCCGGCAGCCATCGAAAGTGGCGACAGTTTTCGCAGATCGCAAGCCCCCCAGGGATGGCGAGGTCTAGTCTGACTTTGGGTGGTGCCTCCGTCCGTTGAACCCCGCAGCAGCCCGCGAAAGTGGCGACAGTTTCGCAGATCGAATCTCCAGTGATTGCGACGTCGGGTCTGAATCTGGGTGGCACCTCACCCCGCTGATCCCCAAGCCGCCTTCGAAAGTGGCGACACTTACGCAGATCGCAAGCCCCCAAGGGACGGCAATGTTTAATCTGCGCCTGAATGGTGCATCGTTCCGTTGGACCCCCGAGCAGCCCGCGAAAGTGGCGACTGTTTCGCAGATCGCAGACCCCAAGGAATGGCGAGGTCGAATCTGAATCTGCGTAAGACGTCAGTCGTTGGCCCCCCAGCAGCCCTCGAAAGTGGCGACCGTTTTGCAGATCGCAACCCCCTGGCGATGGCGAGGTCGAATCTGATTCTGGATGGAGCATCGTTCCGCTGGTCCCTCAGCAGTCCAGGAAAGCGGCGACAAATTCGCAGATCGCAGACCCCACGGATGGGGCGGCCGAATCTAGGTCTACGTGGGGCCCCATTCCGCTCGCCCCCCCCACCGCCTTCGAAAATGGCACCGGTCTCGCAGAACGCAGCTCCCAGGGATGACGAGGTCTAATCTGAGTCTGGGTGGTTCCCCACCCCGCTGGCCCCTCCCAGCAACCTTCGGAAGTGGCGACACTTTCGCAGATAGCAGCCCCCCGGGGAGGACGAGCTCTAATCTAAGTCTGGGTGGGACCCCATTCCGCTGGCCCCCCAGCAACCCTCGAAAATGACGGCAGTTTCGCAGATCGCAGCCCCCCAAGGATGGCGAGGTCTAATCTAAGTCAGGGTGGGGCCCTACTCCGCTTGCCCCCCAGCAGCGTTCGAAAGTGGCGAGGTTTCCCAGATCGCAGCCCCCCATGGATGGCGAGGTCCAGTTTGAGTCTGGGTGGTTCCCCACTCCGCTGGCCCCCCTAGCAGCCCGCGCAAATGGCGACTGTTTTGCATGTCGCAGCCCCACAGGGATGGCCGGGTAGTAAGCAGGGCGGCGCGCGGGGGGGAGTGAGGTGAGAGGCAGGGAAGAAGGGGAGAGGGGGCGGACGAAGGTGTGCGACCGCAGTGCTTCATTCGAAACGAATACCCAGCGCAGGAGGGCTGGGAAAAATCACGGCGCGAGGTTGTTCGTCATTTTCGGCTTCTGGGGGCCCTTACCGGGCCTCGGGACCGTCAACAAAACGCTTCAGGATGAAAAACCCGTCTTGGGGAAGGGGTTCAGACCTCTGAGGTTGACGTTGCGAAAAGGATCACGACGTCGGGGTCTGGGGACAGAAAGGGGCGGGTCGGGAATCCCTGGGGGTGGGGGGGTGAGGTCTCAGGAGGCCGCTGGAGGCTCTCAGCCCTGTCAGGGGACCTCTTCGGCACACGCCTGCCAAGCTCGGGGAGCCGAAGTCACCATACTGAGCCCCTGGGCAATGCCGGTGTGCAGTGCGGCTCCCGATGGCCAGAGCATTCGCCAGGGCGTGTCGCAAGAAGCCCTCTGTGAAGACTCGGGGAGATCGAACGGGGGGGGGGCGCTCCACACGGGGCCTCGCCGTCCGTGGATCGAGAGGATGACGCCTCTGCCTCGGCGAGGGCCGGTGGCAGGAGCCGGAAGCAGAACGGAGGCGGCTCCGCGGAGACAGGCGGAAGGGAAATATTCTGGACGCCCGAGATTCGGGTCGGGCGAAAGGGGGGGATTGGGAAAGGGGGGGTTACGAAATTTGCTGCATGCAGCTGGTCTCGGCCTCACCGAGGGGCCAATTCCTCGATACATGGCGGCTCCCGGCGCCGGGAGGCGCCGAGAAAATCAGCTACGTGAGCTGATTCTCAAACCCCCCCTTTGGTATCCCCCCCTTTCGCCCGACCCGAGAGATGGGTACGGAAAGAATGGATACAATGCCCAACAGCAGTTCCTGTTCATTGTGAGCAGGATTCGCTGTCCACACCGCCGCGGCCTGTGTCCATTCGGGACAGGAGGCCGCCTGCCCAACCGCGGCCGCTGTTGGTTTGGGACAACATTTGTTGTTGGGCATTGTACCCATTCTTTCCGTACCCATTTCGGGTGTCCAGTAAATATGCGTCCCCAGGTGATGTTATTGTTTGTAGACCCAGGGCTCCCAGAGTCGGACACATAGCTCTCAGCATGCTTGAGATCGGCGCTCCCTTGGCATGTTCAGCTCGAGGAAGAAAATAACGTATGAACGTGAATGTCTGGAGCTCCGTGATATCCGCGATGCACCCCCCTCGCTGGCGCGCGGAGCGGGGGGCCCTGCGGGGATCCTAGAAATCTGCGCAGACCTCCGAGAGTTCATGTTTTTGCATTTTGAGATTCCTCGGAGTTACACTGGTTGCCTGGGGATCACATGCCCCAAAACGCTGCTTCGTGGCCAATATTTCACACGTGGCGCTGCAGGCACGAGCCCATGCCGGCCGCTCTGTACAGGCTTGGACAGCTCGTGTGGCCACTCGGTGGACCCGGGGGGGCGCGATCGAGCCGCGACGATCTTGGCCCGGCTGGCTCGCGCGGACCTTCCCACGTCTACGCTGATGCAGCTGTTCCCTTTCTTCTATCGGCAGCGCCGTGCCGAGACGCAGGGCGCCTCCCCGGCCAGCCTGGCCACGGGCTCGCCGGCCACGGCCACGGGCGCGATCCAGATGAACGGCGTGGACGGCACCGGCGCGGCGGCGGGCGCGGCGCTGCCCCCGTATTCCCCGCATGCGTCCGACGCGGTGTCGCCGAGGCCTCCCTGGCCGGCTGCGCGAGAGGAGCGGGAGCCACGGCAACGATAGTCAGCGGAGGGAGAGACACCGATAAACCCGCACAAAGTAGGGATGAACACTTTTCCAAGGTTACCATTACATCCTTTCCCGTCGGCCCATCCTGGGCCGTTTTGGCTGGCCGCGCCCGGACCCGCAAAGGGTCGATCTGACCATCCAAGCAAGGCCCTCGCTTCTTTATCGTGCTCCTTATCATACGAGTTGACTGTGCTCTGGGCCGCCCAAAGGCGGCCGCGAGTGAGGGGGGGAAGTGAGAAGCTGAAAGCCTGCTCAGAAATCTCGGAAGTCCCAAGCTTTCTGAGAAGTGTCTAAGCCTTCTCCGAAGGCGAAGACAATTTCTCTGAGCTTCTGAGAATCCCCGCCGCCTTCTGAGAAGGCCTTCTCCTTCTCATGCCCCCCCCTCGCTCACCGCAGACGACTGGGGTCCGACTAGATTCGGGGAAGAAGCAATTACATAAACATGAAAACTCGGAGGTCCGCGCGGATGCCTACAGTAGAATCGGCGCTGGGGCTCGCGCCGCCTCTGGCGCTCTCTGCGCGCCAGGGAGGGGTGTTCAGCGCCGATCCGAGAAATCCACGCTGACCTCCGAGATGTTATTTCATGTCATTGTTTGTTCCCGTATAGATGGAGTCGTACGGTTGCGCGGCATCGGCAATGCATCGGCGATGCGGGGCGATGTGGAGCTAGATTTTCTCCATGCCGATGGCACCGATGCATCGTCGACGTCGCCGCTGCATCACCGATCTATCGGCGATGTATCGGCGGTGTGTTGCGATCCTCTGACCCCACCTACTCGGACCTGATTTGGGAAGCTCTAGACATCGCTGCTCCTCCTGGAGAGCCCTCGTCGCCACGGCTGGATTCTCCTCGAAGTTCTTGTCAGAACGCACCCAGAGAGAGGCCTGGGGAGTGGCGGTGTGGGTACTTTTCTGTTCCCCCAGATAGCGAAGGGTAGGCTCCGGGGGGAATGCATCGAGCCCCGAACTCGAAGGAAAGAAAATCCAACAAACATGCACATTCTGAGCTCCGCTCGGATCTCTTGGACCAGCGTTGGGCCCCCCGGGCGGCGCTGCCCCGCGGGTTCAGTGCCGATCCAGGAAATTCGCGCGGACCTCCGTAAGTTGTAGGAGGAAAGGAGGAGGAGGAGGAGGAGGAGGAGGAGGAGGAGGATAGGCTCAGGGCGTCCGAGGTTCGAAGTTTTCGGGCGTCTTCGCCGTCTCGGGATGCAGTTGTCCAGCCTCGGGATGCCTTCCAGCGGCTGCGGCTCGCCGAGAGCGGTCCGGGGGTGCCCGGATCGTCCCGAACGGCCGACGCAGACCGGAGGTACGGCCCGAAATCCAGAGGGCAAGGATTGGGAAACGAGCCCCAGGGACAACATCAAGGGGGAGAGCATCGCCGATAGGGGCCCGATAGTCCATCCCCCGCCCAGGGACGCGCAGTGTTGCTGTCGGGCGCCCATAGCCCATCTTTTGGCGACGCATCACAAACTCCAAGTCGATGTTGCCCCCCCTTCAGCAAGTGCCCCCGATCATCCTTCCCCTTCAGGGAGGAGCTACGGCGCTTGTTCTGTTTTGGGCGGCCCTCTTCTTCGAGGGTTCTCTGACGCTGTCTCCGGCATCATCGGAGGGATGGGGGGGGGGATGTTGACAGTCCGGTCGGAGAAGATCTGGCAGCGCTCACACTCGCCCCCTTCACCTGCTGACTCGCTGGTCGACACTCCAGTTGTATCAAGGATTGGGAAACGAGCCCCAGGGGCAACATTAAGGGGGAGAGCATCGCCGATAGGGGCCCGATAGTCCACCCCCGCCCAGGGACGCGCAGTGTTGCTGTCGGGCGCCCATCGCCCATCTTTTGGCGACGCATCACAAACTCCAAGTCGATGTTGCCCCCCCCTGAGCAAGTGCCCCCGATCATCCTTTCCCTTCAGGGAGGAGCTACGGCGCTTGTTCTGTTTTGGGCGGCCCTCTTCTTCGAGGGTTCTCTGACGCTGTCTCCGGCATCATCGGAGGGATGGGGGGGGGGATGTTGACAGTCCGGTCGGAGAAGGTCTGGCAGCGCTCACACTCGCCCCCTTCACCTGCTGACTCGCTGGTCGACACTCCAGTTGTATCAAGGATTGGGAAACGAGCCCCAGGGGCAACATTAAGGGGGAGAGCATCGCCGATAGGGGCACCCCCGCCCAGGGACGCGCAGTGTTGCTGTCGGGCGCCCATCGCCCATCTTTTGGCGACGCATCACAAACTCCAAGTCGATGTTGCCCCTCCCTGAGCAAGTGCCCCCGATCATCCTTCCCCTTCAGGGAGGAGCTACGGCGCTTGTTCTGTTTTGGGCGGCCCTCTTCTTCGAGGGTTCTCTGACGCTGTCTCCGGCATCATCGGAGGGATGGGGGGGGGGATGTTGACAGTCCGGTCGGAGAAGGTCTGGCAGCGCTCACACTCGCCCCCTTCACCTGCTGACTCGCTGGTCGACACTCCAGTTGTATCAAGGATTGGGAAACGAGCCCCAGGGGCAACATTAAGGGGGAGAGCATCGCCGATAGGGGCCCGATAGTCCACCCCCGCCCAGGGACGCGCAGTGTTGCTGTCGGGCGCCCATCGCCCATCTTTTGGCGACGCATCACAAACTCCAAGGCGATGTTGCCCCCCCTTCAGCAAGTGCCCCCGATCCTCCTTCCCCTTCAGGGAGGAGCTACGGCGCTTGTTCTGTTTTGGGCGGCCCTCTTCTTCGAGGGTTCTCTGACGCTGTCTCCGGCATCATCGGAGGGATGGGGGGGGGATGTTGACAGTCCGGTCGGAGAAGGTCTGGCAGCGCTCACACTCGCCCCCTTCGCCTGCTGACTCGCTGGTCGACACTCCACTTGTATGCAAGATCCCCTGTTTGTGCCAGCATGGGGAGGTCACTGAGAGAAGGTCGGGAGCCATTCGCCGTTCCCAGTGCTTTTGTGATCTCACGGGCATGGTTGAGCTGTGAGAGAGGCCTTCCCGCGTCCTCCAAAGAAGTTGGCGCGCTTTTGCACGAGCCATCTCTGAATGTATAGTACTGCCCTCGCTCGAGATCACACGGAACGCTCATTCGGATATGAACGATTGGATTCGATGATGGTAATGCAGCCGGAGTTCCCGCCCGTAACGTGGGAGAGTTTCTTCCGGGTTGTTTGACAACGTCCCGAGGAAGTTCAAGACAAGCTTTATGTCGGGCATGTCCCCCTACAGGGGGATGTTCGACAAAACATAGAAAAATAAAAAATTACCCCAGCTCAAAAAGTACCCCCCAAAAAGGTCCCCAGACTATTTTTAGATTATTTTTCGTCGAACATCCCCCTGTAGGGGGACATGCCCGACTTAAGACAAGCCGATACCAAGCCGACGGGTGCCCCAGCAGCCTGTGCCACGGAGTCGAGCCGACGAGCGCCCGCAGGCAACGGAGGCGGATGTGGCCGCAGCCGAGGCCCCTCGATCGTTTGGTTCTCTTGCCCGGTGCCCTCGCTGGCGGCGCCTTCGGAAAGGAGCGGCGGCAGGGCCCTCGGCCGACAGGACGGGTGCACCGCACACGTCGAGGTCTCTCGACGCTGCCGTCAGGCTGGCCCGCCATCAGGTGGCCAGGCTTTCGGCGAGGGGAACCAGCTCAGGCAGGGCCGCCCTGGGTACGTCCGAGGACCCTCGGCCGACAGAGCGGGCGCACGGGTTGCGATCGCGCCCTGCCTTGCGACCTCAAAACATTGCAGGACGGCAGCAGCGTGGTTGTCGGTCGCTGTTGCGGCCTGGGCCTCGCAGCGTCGCAGAGGGCGGCGTCGGCCTTCATCCTTCTCGACTGCGGCTGCGGAGCTGCTCTGCGATCTCTTCTCGCGTGGCCCGCGATGCGAAAGTCGCGTTCGCGAGCCTGCAGTTCGGCATCGAAGCCCGTGGATGCCGCGGTGGAAAGGGACTGCACGGTGGCAGCGCTGCGACATCTCGATCCCGCCCCGGCCAGAGGGGCCGCCCGAGCTGCGCGCCACCCGTGCAACTCCATGGCGAACGCTCAGTTCGGACGAGCCACGGGCAAGGGCAGCCCGCGCCAACACGATCATGGCAGGCGCTGGTGACCGAGGACTCGAAGAGAAAGAGAAGGATCGAGGATAAGGACCGGTATCTTCTAAACGATCCCTACCCCCCCGTTCCTGCCCCCGCCATCCCACCACCCCAGATGGGGATAGGCCCCTCGAAACCCGAAGGGGACAGCCTATCCCCCCACCTACGGGCTCGGGGGTCAATCGGCCAGCGGGTCCCAGACCGCGCCACTGGGGGCAGGGATCGGTCGAACGGCTCGAGGAGGAGGACCGAACGTCCTGGGCCGAGGCCGCCGCGGGCTCGGCGTGGCGCGGGCCAGCGAGGCGAAGCCACGGCGCGAAGGGAAAGCGCGACGGGGCTCTTGAGCACTGAAGGCTGCGGCGCCCACCCTCGGACAGGAGCCTCCGGTCAGCGCGTCGATGTGCCGGCGCTTTGGCCCGCGCCGCCTCGGCGCGACGCGCTGGCGCCACGGCCCGGCTCCCGGGCGCCCGCTGCCCGAGTTTCTTGCAGCCCCCCGCCCCGCGGAGCGGACATTCTATATCCGCTTGCAGGGTAGAGCGCGCCCCCGGGGCCGCGGCAGCGATGCGCTAAGCAACTATCCAGGAGAGGAAAATAGACACTTTTTGATCTGCGGGGCGAGAGCGAACCTCTTCCGCTAAAAGCTGGGCGGGCCACGCGCAGCTTTGATGGGAAAATAGACACACACAGACACAAGTAAACAGCGATGCCCACGAAGGCATAGGAAAACAGGCGACGCGGAGGGGATGACGAGGACCCAGAACATATGGAAAATGATCGGGATTCTTGGGATTCGTGTCTGTCGCCTTGGACCCCTCGAAGAGTGCCTGGCCGTGGATCCGGGAACCGGCCCGAAGGTCTACGCTGCGCGGCGGCGGAAAGGGAGGCAGCGAGGCTGCCCCTTTGCCCGTCCGCGATGCCGGGGGAGGGGGCCCACGGGCCGGCGTTCCAGGAGGGGTTACTTCGAAGGATCGAGAATTCGGCATCTTCAACATCCTTCCCCAGGGAAGACAGCTTTCGAATTTTCCCAGACATAAAGCAAAGAAAACCTTTGGGGTTTTCAAAAGTGTTCGTCAGTTCCTGAATGTTTTCTTGCTTCGGGGTGCGTTCCAGCAGCTGCGCCTCGCCGCGGGCGTTCTGGGGGTGCCCGGATCGTCCCGAACGGCCGCCAGAGAGCCGATTTATGGCCAGAAAATCAGACATCGGCGTCTCGAACAAATCGAGGAGGAGGTTTTTCATAGTGTTCGGCCTCTCGGGGCCCCCTCGCCAGGCCCAGGGGCCGTCAGGACACGGCTCAGGATGAATCGCTGGTATTAGGGAAGCGGTGGAGAGGTTGGGGCCGCGTCTCGATAAAAATCGAGACGTTGGATGTTTGGGACCATTTACTCGGCGGAAGCAAAGCGAGGGCGGTTCCACCGGCGGAAGCCAACAGAAGTAAGAGATGCACTTCCAAGAGATGTCAACATTTTTGGAGTAACGCTTCCGAGACCCGCCGTGAAGAGTCGCGGCGGCTGGACGCTCGCGAGGCGCCAGCGGGAGCGTTTCGAGCGAAGGGAAGCCAGGTGCGCGCGCCAGGGAGGGGGGCCCAGCGCCGATCCAGGAAGTCCGCGCGAACCTCCGAAAGTTCATGTGTACGCCATTTGTTCTTCCATGAATAGTGCCGTGGCCACGCGTCTTGTCGGCGCGAGCTTCGGGAGGTTACTTGTGCATCCTTCGGCCGAGGATAGCGACTTCGACGACAGCTCTTCCGAGGACGAGGATTTGTGGCCCACGTACGTCCTGCGGGTCGGCATCGGTCGCTTGGAGCAGGTGCAGTTCCACCCGCAGACGGAGGAACTGCGAACTTTTCTGCTTGGGCAGCTTGATCGAAGAGCAAATAAGAGCAATGACATATAAAATTTTGGAATTCCGTGCGGATTCCTGGGATCTGCGCTGGAACCCCCTGGCGGCACCGCCGTCGCCGCCCTTGGCGCGCTCCGCGCGCCAGGGCGAGGGGCTCTGCGCAGGTTGAAGAAATCCGCGCGGAGCTCCGAAAGTTTATGTGTATGGAGGTTTCTCTTGCTCTATTCCAGGGTGTCCTTGCTCTATTCGAGGGTGTCCGTGGTGGGATGTGTGGGAGCATCGCATGCACCTTCCCGCCCTGGCCCGAAATCCATCCCATCAGAGTTGCGAGAGACACTTCGCTCAGGGCACGAGCGCGGCTTGAATGGACAGTGGTGTCCACAGTCGTGAGCTGCAGCAGAAGTCACAGTCCAGTGGTAGAGGCCCGCCACATAGGAACACCTCGCTCGGTTGATGGTCCCCTCGCCCTGAGCATCGTCCTTCTGTGCTGCCCAGTGTAGTTGTGTAGGGCTTCGTGCGGGGCACTGCTCGGCCTGGTGTTGCCATTCCCCGTCGCAGGGCTCGAGGTCAATGGTGTTTGGGCGATTTCGTGGACCGCGTTCGTTTTGATCTCGTCTTGCAGCCAAGGCGGAACGAAGACAGAACGAGCAAAGACGAAACCAAACGAAAACGGAGAACACTGTTTAGGTCGAGCCCCACTCAGGCGTCATCCCTCGTCCTGGGCCCGCGCCGGTGCGACAATGTACCCAGAACATGTGCTCGGGCTACCCAGAAATTGTTTCTCGGTGTCGTGGCCAAGCCGCTTCTATACGTTGATGCATGTAGACGACCCGATGACCTCGCACGGCTGGCCACATCTTCGGTAGGATCGTGGCCCGTCTTCATCTCCAACGGTGCTTCCCCAGCAAAACGTGCGGTCTTGTTTCTATGAACCGAGGAGGAACAACAACTGCATAAGCATACATTTTCGTAGCTCCCTCCCTGGCGCGCGGAGCGCGCCAGGTGCGGCGCCGGGGGCTCCGCCAGGGGCCCAGCGCCGATCCAGCAAATCCGCGCGAAGTTCCGAAAGTCTATTTGTATGCCTCTCCTAGTCCTCCGAATGGCGGGAGGAATCCCCGCAGGAGGAATCCCCGCAGGCTGTGAGCCTGCGGGGAGGAATCCCCGCAGGCTGTGAGCGTTCAAAGTCGCCGGGTGGGCAAAGGCAACCCTCCAAAGGGTTCTTGCCGACGCCGCAGGCCTCCCTCCCACGTAGGCGGCAGGGGACAAGGCGGGAAGACGACCGGAAGTACAGGCAGGGAGGAGGGAGGAGGGAGGAGGGAGGAGGGAGGAGGGAGGAGGGAAGACAGTCCAGCAGGGGAGCTGCAGCCGCCCGGCGCCCCTGGGGAGCGGGGGGGGGGGCTGGCGGGCCGAAGACCTTGTCAGGTGTACGGTAGGCTTGCGTCGTGTAGACCAGCGGCGACCCCAGCGCGGGCGTTCAAGGTTGAACGCCGCCGGCGACCCAGAATCGGTCGATGTTGAACGATCGGACGTTGCGGAGACGGCCGATCGTGCAAGGTTGAACGATCCCTGCGGTGTCAAAAACCAACGCTGGGGTCGGCACGACACGAACCTGCCGTAGGCACCCAGGGGGCGGCAGCACGTTCACCAGACTTCCGATGTGCTCGTTGCCCCAGGGCTCCGGCGTCGTGATTGTTTTCTAAGCGTGGACCCCAGAGATCCAGACCCTCTCCCCGGGACCAGCTTGTCATCCCGAGTCGATCTCTGACGGTCTGGGGCTCTGGTGAGGGCCCCGGGAGGCCGAACATGGCCCGAAATTTCGCGTCGTGAATGTTCGCGCCGGAACCAGGGGGGGAAGACCGGAATAAGACCGATCACAACCATTTCGGACTGTTCAGGAATTACTTCGGTCGGATTGCAACCACTGGAAACGGACTGATCGCAACCTAAAGGATTCCGATACAAACCTGTCAGGAGAACACCGGTTTGTTACCGATCTACCGATCCAAGAGCTCTTGCTGAGGCCTCTGTAAGGCTTCTCCGAGGCCTCTGAAAGGCTTCTCTGAGGCCTCTCAAAGGCTTCTCTGAAGCCTCTGCGAGGGTTGTGTGTGGGAGGATTCTGAGAGGCTTGTGGGAGGCTTCTGAGAGGCTTGTGGGAGGCTTGTGAGAGGCTTGTGGGAGGCCTCTGAGAGGCTTGCGTGAGGCTTCTGAGAGGCGTCTGGGAGGCGAGGCTTTTGCGAGGCTTCTGCGGGGCTTCTGTGGAGCTTCCGAGAGGCTTCTGAGAGGCTTCTGAGAGGCTTCTGAGGGGTTTCTGCGAGGCTTCTGCGAGGCATTTGAGAGGCTTCGGAGAGGCTTCTGGGAGGCTTCTGCGAGGCTTCTGCGAGGCTTCTGCGAGGCTTCTGCGAGGCTTCTGAGAGGCCTGCCCCGCAAGCCCCACAGGTCCCCACAGGTCCTGCGCGTCGCACGGGCGCCAGTGGTCTCGCAGGCCGCGCAGGGCGCACACGTCCCCCAGCCATGGTTCCCACAACCTCCGCAGGCCCAGACCGCCTGGCGTCGTGACAGCATCTATTTTTGTTTCGGGCTCGGGGGGCCATCGCCACGCCCAGGGGCCGTCCAAAAGTGACTCCGTATGCAATGCTGGTCTACTGTAGGTCAATGCGGCGTTGGCGCGCCGGCGACGTTGGCGAAGGCGTTCAAGGCTACAGTTTACGACGCGGAGGCACCGAGGGACACGCTGGGCCCATGGCGCACGACGAAATTGAACATTGAACGATCGGGGCCGCGATCGATTCAAGGTTGAACGATCCGCGCGGAGCCACAAGCCTTGCGGGCGCCGACGCCCCACGAACCTACCGTAAAGGAATTCGTCCACACCTCTGGGGGTCGACGTCCTGGAAAAGTCATGACGTTGGGGGTTTGGGCCGCCGCCTCTACCCGCCTTGCCATCCTGTCCTCTTCCGTTTCCCCCCTCCTTCCTCTTCCTCCTCTTCCTCCTCCTCCTGCTCCTGCTCCTCCTGCTCATGTCCTTCCTACCTCCCCTCCTCCTTTTCCCTTCCTCCTCCCCCCCTCCTCCTTCGCCTCCTCTTCTTCCTCCTCCTCCTCCTCCTTCTCCTTCTCCTCGTCCTCCTCCCTCTCATCCGCCTCGTCCTCCTCCTCCTCCTCCTCCTCGTCCTCCTCCTCCCCCTCCTCCTCCTCCTCCCTCCTCCTCCCTCCTCCCTCCTCCTCCTCCTCCTCCTCCTCCTCCTCCTCCTCCTCCTCCTCATCCTCATCCTCCTCCTCCTCCTCCCCCTCCCTCCTCCTTCCCCTCCTGAGATGCAAGTTGTTTCACGCCACGCGTTTTCGCTCAGTGTCGGTTTCGACCGTATACGCATCACATAAGGAATCCTATACGGATCATGGCCACGTTCGAGCTCCAATACATGTGTTTAGGTGAGATCATGATTGGCCGTCTGTGACCAGACCGATCGCAACCGCTTTTTCAAATTCCCATGGGGCGATTTAGGAGAACTCATTGAACCCAGAAGCGTTATCATGATCTCTTCCTTGATCAAGCCCTTATTGTAACGATCCAAAAACATCTCAACCACGTCGGACCGATCGCAACCGGATCGGCCCGAAGTGGTTTACGATCGGTCCGGAGTGGTTGCGATGGGTCGTGCTCGCGGGGGGGGACTGACAGCAGGCACATCAGAGACGAGATCGGCCCGCCAGCAGGCGCTCCAGGGTAGGGGGCCGCCTGCGAACCCTACCCCATACCCCCCACGATTTCTGAGGGGGGGGTGGGGTTCACATAGTTCAGGAGCTCCCGAGCGAAGTGAACCCCACCCTCCCCCTCAGAAATCGCCACTGCTTCTCCTTCTCCCCCTCTTCCTCCTCCTCCTCCTCCTCCTCCTCCTCCTCTTCCTCCTCCTCCTCCTCCTCCTCCTCCTCCTCCTCCTTCTCTCCGTAGCCATTTTGGCTCAAGATGCCCGCACTCGGGGGCTCCGCGCCTCCGTGCCAAAATCTGAGCTGCCAGAGCAGCACTGTGTTCTCGGTGTTTTCGGGAGAATCGCACCGCCCAGCTGCCAGCGCAGTTGGGGTTAGAGCTCCCTTTCGATCTGTCAATCAGTCATGGCGCCGCGCCCATTCTCTTGGTGTACCTGCGGCAACTGGACGTACAACTTCCGCCTGCTGCACAACGGCGGATTCTGTGGCAAGTGCGGGGAGCAGGTCACACTCTTCAAGCCTGACGCTGCAGCGGCGAAAGGCAACGGCAAAGGTAAGAAAGGCATCCACAGTTACAAGGGCGGCAAGGGCGAGGACAAGTCGGCGTGGCACTTCGGCAGTGGCAAAGGCACGCACCCGTGGTCCAAGGAGCCTGGCATCTCGCAGATGCTCAGCATCCTCTCGAATGTCCCCGCCCTCGCTGAGCACGCCGACGTGTTCCGCCAGGCTGACAACTCCTTCAAGGCGAGCAAGGCAAAGCCGGTATCGCCCAACCAGGAGGTCTACCGCTGCAGCCAGACCCTGGAGAAGAAGGAGTTGGCTCTTCAGAAGGCCTCCGCAGACGTCATCAAGCTGGAGACGGCACTCCAGGAGGCCAAGCTGTGGCTCCACCAGACGGCGGAGGAGGCCCTCTCCGCGAAGCGGGCCCACACGCTGGCGGTCAAGGCCCTCGCCGACTCCACGGGCGCCGCCAAGACGCAGGACGGCTACACCGCGGACGGCAAGAAGATTTACCTCGCGATGGATGAGTTCGACTTCGCTACCAGCGACGAGTTCGACGACGCGCAGAAGGCCCAGTTCAAGGCCATCCAGAAGCAGGTGGAGGAGCACTGCAAGAAGGTGGAGGACCTCCAGAAGACCATGCAGGAGGCGCTCAAGAGCGTCAAGGAGATCCGAGCTGCCCCTGCGAAACGGCAGCGTGGTCAGGACGGCCCCGTCCCTGGTCCTGGCGCAGCAGAAGCTGAAGGCCCTGACGAAGACCAGGCACCTGCTGCGGAGGACGGCCCCAC